AATTTCAACTTCATAATTTTTACCCTGGGAATCGATTCGGCAGAAAATTTTACATCCAGATGTGATCTCAACTTTGACCTTGCGATCAAGGTCAAAATCACAGCGAGTTTAAAGGCAACCTCGGAATGAGATGGATGTTTGCCCCCAAAGCCAATCAAGGTACTCAATCACCCCTTGGATCTTGGACTTTGGATTTGATCTTGACGTTGACTTTCAGGACCATTTGAAGGTGGTATACAGAAATCGACCTTGATGACCTCTACAAAAAATGTTTTTAATGATATTCGGGACCAAATGTGTTTTTTTTTTCAATTCTCAAAGAGAGTTATGCCTTTGTTGAGTAACGAGACCTTTTTTCGACCTCCCCGCGGTCATTATTTGTTCCTACAATTGATATAACCTAACACATACGTATTTAATTAATTCGTTGTTAATTTAATTGCAAATTGAGAAAAGTTTACAAAATTGGTGCCAACATTGCGTCAACGTCGGAGCAACAAAAGATGAAATTTCAGATCACATCCGGATGTAAAATTTTCTGCCGAATACATTCCGCGGGTAAAAAATATAGGGTCCCATTTAAAATTATGAAGTTGGCCTTCATTTGACTTTCAAGATCACTGTTGAGACCAAATTTAAGGTAAAGTACCACTTTCCCTCAATGAACTGAGCAACTTTCATTTAGATCAATTTTGGATCGGAGGCTTCACTATTGGCCAACTACCTGTTGTCTACAAATAAATAGCTTGTATAAGATTACGTCCTTTTCATTAAAGCAAAATTTCAGGCATAAGCATTCTGTATCAGAAACCGACAAAAGCACCGCCTGGCTTCTTCTCTTTCGCTGATCCTTTTGCTTTCGAAGTGTGGAGATTGCTGGTGCTGGCCTGTGTCGGAGTTTCTTTTGTCCTATTCGTGGTTGGGAGGATATCGTCTTCAGAATGGGAAAATCCCTATCCATGTATTGAGGAACCAGAGTATTTAGTTAACCAACTCGACTTGAGGAACTGCGCCTGGTTTGTGACTGGTTCCATTATGCAGCAAGGATCAGAAATTGAGTTAAAGTTAGTACAGTATTATATTTTCCCAACTATTCATAAACAGAAACATGGTTTGATTAACGCAAGTGAATTGTTGCAGATCTGTAGCTACTAGAATGGTTGCAGGAATGTGGTGGTTCTTCACTTTGTTGATGGTTTCGAGCTATACCGCGAATTTGGCTGCTTTTTTAACCACGGAAAGCCCAGATCCTCATTTTAACAACCTTAGAGAACTCGTAAATAACGCAGAAGAAAAGGGCATCAAATACGGAGCTAAATTAGATGGAGCCACAGCAAACTTTATCAGGGTAAATTCGGTCTAGTGTAATAATACTAACATTCTAAACATTCTAAACATTCAGTGGCGGAAGTTCAAAATTTGGACTCCCTTGCAAAATTCGATTCGGGCTACTTCCACAACCTACGGTTGAATTGGGTTGACTTTTTTTATTAAAAATAATCATTGTAGCAAAAATTTGCTGTAGTAGGTGCAACCCCAAAAAATGCGAAATTTCTTATATCTGATTTTTCCCAATTTTGTTTGAATTTCGAATCCCTAACATTGTAGTTAAAAATCACATTTCTAGAAAAAATCATTGTCGCAGAAACTGCATTAATGACTTTGTTGGCATTTTTTTTATTTACATTTCTAATAAAACTTCATTTCTGAAAAAAGAGTTCTAAAGTTATTTTAAGTGATGTTAAGTGCTTGATATACAGGTTGCCCAATATTGTGACAAAGTTCAATATCTCCCTTATTATAAAAATTTGAAAAAAAATGTATGGGGGTGATGTACTTAAAAAAGTNTATCCACTGTGCAGGTACTACCAGTAATTAAGAAAAAATATTTTGTAGGCATGCGGACCAAAGATGTGGACAAACAAAAAAATAGCAAAATTTTTATAATTTTGTACAGGGTGTTCTAGACATAAGGTCCAGTTTAGCGAATTTCGAAGGACATTTTCTCGATTTTTTAAATGAAACACCCGGTATATTATTTTATTTTTGGATTAATATGTTAATTACCTACAAATTTTGTAAATAATACCATATGCCTAAAATCACTATTTTCCGAAATATTGGCGCTTTTCTAGCAAAACCCCTTTAATTTTGCAAATTTTACATTTTATTTTCAAATTAAAAAAATTTCAATTTTAATTATTTGAATCAGGCTTCTAATTAGCAACATATGCAAAAAGCAGCTATATTTACTAGTCATTTATACAATATGAAATTACTCCATCTTTTTCTAATTAAAAAAATTTAGCCACCTTGTAAGTACCTACAATACAAAATTAATAAACAAATTTAATCAAATATCAATTTAGTTAAATTAAGAAAATGACCCATTAATTTTTATTAGATTTATTAGATGGTAATTAGCAAATCAAAAAATTCATATATTAGAAACATAATTCCGTCCTGTGATGATAAAAAAATGCTAAATCCTATCAAGAAAAGAAAATAATGATATTAGAAACGGGTTAGACGACGAAAAAGTTACATTTGCACTAAACAGTAGGCGGTGGAAACATTTTAATTTCACAGCTGTACTAGTTTCGGTTCATGGGTTGAGAGTAGAAGTTTCCAAATTACAGGTAGCCTTTGCCTTGAACTTATTTTTATTCTTCCAGACTTCTATTAGTTCTCTCTAGAATTTTTGCTGAAATTTTCTGTTTCTCGCCTTTTCTCTCACTCTCACCTGAAATTTTAGTAGGGTGAAAGGGAAGCGAGAAGGAAGACTCTGGCCAAGACTCAGAGAAACTATAGGAAGCAGAACAAGATTCCTACAATTTATAATTATCTGAATATGGAAGTGAGTTCCTTCTGAGGAAA